GACATTTAAGGGAGAGAACAAGAAGGATATCCATGCCAGGCTACTTTCCCGGTATCCTGATGTACCATGGTGGTGGTACGGTGCCTTGACTGTAAGCATTACTTCCCCCTGATTCGAACTAGCTAACAGTAAAGGTTATCATCGTTGCTCTTGCGATTATGACGCAGTACGTCTGGAACACAGGGCTTCCGTTCTGGGGTTTGTTCATCACGTTGGCTCTGGCAGCAATTTATGTGATCCCAGTTGGAACAGTATATGCTGTGGCAAACCTTAACAGCAACTGTCTGACCGTTCTGGGAGAGATCGTATCCGGCTATCTGCTGAAAGGGAAGCCGCTCGTTCTTTTGATATTCAAGGTGAGATCTCAGGTCAGGACATCTCATCTGCGAAGTCATAATTGACAAATGATAGTTTTATGCGTACACTGGGCTGAGCCAAGCCATGTATTACGGCGCAGACATGAAGGTCGGTTGATTGTGCGAACATATTTGAGAAGTCCCCTGCTAAGGCATATTATTTAGCTTGGAATGTATATGAAGATCCCACGGCGAACTCTATTCGTTGCCCAGCTGGTTGCCTGCATTTTGGGAACTTTGACGCAGAGTGAGTGAATTCTGTACATCTGCTTTTTGACTGCAGACCGCTGATTTGGAAAGATGGGGTCCTGCTCTGGATGCTTGGAAATGTGCAAGACGTGTGCTCGGAGGATCAAGCGGACAATTTTACCTGTCCGCAGGGTCGGGTCAACTACAACAGTGCCGTTTTATGGGGAGGTATGGCCACTTTGTCGCTCCCTTTGGCCTGCGCAGAATCTCACTGACGATGGTACAGCTATTGGACCTACCAGACTATACAATATCGGAAAGATTTATTCCGGTCTTCTGCACTTTTTCTGGATCGGAGCACTGCTCCCTATCATCACCTATGCCTTGCGCAAGAAATACCCCAAGTCCCGGTTCCTAGACGCCATTCACTGGCCGATCTTCTTTGCTGGCACGGGTAACTTGCCTCCTGCTGTACGGAAAAACCCTTTGCCAAGAGTAATTCTCTATGCTAATTGATGGCGGTAGACGGGTATCAACTATTCCACGGCGTTTGTTGTCAGTCTGATCTTTAACAAGGTGAGTCATCCGTCTTGACGTTATTATGAAATGCGACATTCTGACCGCCTATAGATCATCAAAGGTCGCAAGCCTCACTGGTGGGCCAAGTACAACTACGTACTCTCTGCCGCATTGGATTCGGGAGTTGCCGTTGGAGCCATTGTGATCTTCTTCGCGCTCACATTCCCGGGAATCACTTTCAACTGGTGGGGTAACACGGTCAATAGTGGGACGGTGGATAGCAAGGGCACGCCGTGGCTGGAGTTGAAGGGGAATGAGACTTTTGGGCCGGCGACGTGGTCGTGAGGAGTATGAAGAGCAAATCATGACACGACCAGAGGCTACCTGGTGTATGGGGAATGGTTAGCGTAGATCATGTGAAATGATATATTGGATTCATGAAGCGATGCCTGGTTTTCTCGAAGCATTGGGTTGATTGATTGCTTCTATTAGATTTGGCCGAGTCTCCAGAAATTCCGTCAGAAGCAATGCAGACTTTCATTGACTAAGACACAGGCACCTCTACGCTGATGGCTATAGAAAAGCATGATTCAGTGTGCGTATAAAGATATATAATCTGCAAGATATGTGTGCCCCATGATCTTATGAAGACCTGCGATCACAAAGAACTATGTATGTCCTGTATGAAAAATTCCCAGGCTTCCATCTGATACTGAATATATATATATATATTCAGCCCTCTCATTCCTTCTTCAATGTGGGATATGATAGCCATTGGACTCCCACCCAGTATCCTGTATTGTTGATGTGAATGTGTCTTTATGCTATTAGACGTCTCTGCAATGTCAGTCAGAGTGGTAAATAATACCAAGCACTCATTCATTCCTACATCACCCCTCCCCCCACCAAAAACAAGAGCAGAAGAAAATAGAGCAAAAAATGAAGGTTATCTTTTTCAAGGCCCGAGCCGCGGATCGAACGCGGGACCTCTCGCAGATATGCTTGGGTTTGTATCCCTAAGCGAGAATCATACCACTAGACCACCCGGGCTTGATGGAAAGAATAACCAATGACCTACGCAGGACTCGAACCTGCAATCTCTTGATCCGTAGTCAAGCGCCTTACCATTGGGCCAGCAGGCCATTTGATGGAAAATGGCCGCACTTTACGGCTCTAAGAGGTAGCAATTTGCTGGTCTGCCCTATAAACTAAGTCTCCATCGGAACGGAATAGTTAATAATTCCTGTTATCGGGAATACCCCATGTGTAGTCAGGCATTAGTCATAACTAACTATCAGCGCCATGATTCCCCGGGGATTGTGATAACCAACTAAGTCACTAGTCATACTCTCGATAAGCCTTGCAGCTTCTTCAGATTAAGCCACGGCAGCTCTTATCCGGTCAGCTCGCCCGGCCAATCTGAGTGCTCATTACAGGGATCGTCTCAAGCCCACCGTTGCCCCTCTTGGGTTCACCGTTCGGGGGTGTCCGCTGTGATCTCGCCACGGCTGGTGGTGGCCTCGACGCCGAGAGTGCACCTCTCCCTCCGAGCGAGGAGTTTCGTTGCTCTTTCGCTCCTGCAACCCGGAGCCAGAAGGTTTCCTCCCCCTTCTATTACTCTGGACCTTTGCCCGGCCATGTAAAGACGCCCCTCCCCTTAGTCGGATGCCGCGCAAGAAGGCTGCAGACCGCGTGGGTCCGGTCAAGACCCGAAGCCGCAGTGGCTGTAAAGAATGCCGCGCCAGTCGAGTCCGCTGCGATCTGAAGAAACCGATCTGCACCAGATGTCTTGAGAAGGGCTTAGTATGCTCGACCCAACTCGTTCTCAAGTGGGAGTCCGAGTTCGTTAGCCGCGGCTTGGCTTTTGGTAGAGCCGGCGTTTGGAGTAAGGCTCGGGCTGCCGGCGGACTTCCTCCTCCTCCTGGAAAGTCTTCGGCTGCGTTCCTCCTTCGCGATCAGGAATGGTGTCCTATTCCGCTTATCGAGTCGTGGGGGTTTGTCAATAGTGGGGTGTCGACTTTTGAACAGCCTTATGAGGTCAATGTTGCCTGTGATGAGTTGAATGCCCTCGTTGTCCGGGACAAGGGGAAGAGCCCGGCGCTGGATGACCTGCTGGATGAGAATGCAGACTGGGCTTTATCACCATCGTCGTTGTCGTCTCCTTCCTCGTTACGTGAGCTCTCCGACTACTGCTCGCCTGTCCCACTTGTCTCCCCGCACCTGGCCCCGCCTTTGTCGATGTTCCCCAGTCTATCGGACTCCAATCAGGGTCGCCTCTTTGATTACTACCTCCAACAAGTGTGTCCCCGGACCACCGCTAGCTCGAAGCTATCTTCCCCTTTCGCCTCCATCATCCTTCCCTTCTGCATGTCCGCATCTCCAATCCTTTTCAAAGCCATTCAAGCTCTTGGAGCATGTCACTGGTCCCGCTTCGACTCAACTTACAGCGTGATTGGGCTCCGCCTCAAGTCTGAAGCACTACGGGGTCTCCGCTACCGCCTCTCAACCGAAGGCTCACTCCTCTGCTCCGCAGATCCTGAGGTTTTAGCAATCATGATGATGTTATGTCTTTACGAAATTGTGGACAACTGCGACCAACGCTGGACAATCCACCTAAAAGGTGCCAAAGAATTGATTCGCATCCGCCGCCAACAACAACAACAACTCACCCCTTCTCGACCTCGTCAATCCCTCGACCCCGTCTCCACCTTCGCCGAGCTCTTCTTCGCCTTCCAAGACGTCATGGGCCGCACTGCCTGCGGCGAAGAAGTCCTCTTCGGAACAGATTATTGGCAAGAAAACAACCGCCACATTGACCTCTGGATGGGCTGCAGCCCAGAGCTAGTTTCCATTCTGTCCTCAATCACGGAATTGAGCCGCACAAGACGCCAACTGACATCCGACGCCGCACGCAAAGCATTCTCCCAACGCGCCGCCTCCCTAGGCCGCAGACTCGAGAAACTCGTCCAGGAAACAACCGACGACGATGACAATAACGACGACGGAAGCCTCCGCTCCGCCGCCGAATTGAAACGTCTAGCGGCCGTGCTATACCTTCACTGCGCACTATACGGCGCATCACCCTCCACACCACTCGTAATCGGCTACATCCGACGCATCCTGCGTCTCGTATCTCATCTGCTTGACTCTGGCTCCCTCGTCAGCATGACCTGGCCTGTTTTCGTAGCGGCCGTTGAGCTGGACCCGCTTCATGATGAAGTCTGGCGCGATGACACCGGCGAGAGCGTGGTATATGGCCGGCCGTTGGTATTGCGTGCGTTGGCGGCTATGGCAGAGTCGAGTGTGTCGAATGTCGCAAGGACGAGAGCCGTCATTGTGAAGATATGGCAGGCGAGGGACAGTGATATGCTCAAGGGCTCGCCGGTGGACCAGGCGGACGATGGTGCTGCGGGGTGTAATGATTGGGAGTGGTATGTTGCGCCGATTAGTACGGCGATGAGCTTGGCTTGAGGCGCCTTGCTGGGAAAATGAGGAAGTGTTGGATGTACGGGACACCCCTGACATATGCTATGCAGCTGCGGTGGACAGAAAAAAGAGGACATAGCGCTTTGTTTTGATCACTTGAATGACTATATGACTTGAAAGGTTTATGTAGAATTAGGGATACTGGTTTTGGGATTTCTTTTTGGCTTCAATGTATAGTGACTTGACTCAGATTGATATATTGGACATAAACTTTTTTTCTTTTTCCAACTCTATATCCTTATCCATAACGGCATAATGATGACCGGCTGACTTGTAATATTGGAACAAGTGCACCCCATAAACAACCCATTCCTGATACTCGCGTAGATTGTATTCTTACCAGTAGATGAAGCGACCATCAAGACGTACAAACATAAGCACATAGGTATATACGAAGCCCAAGCAGCACCAGATCATGCGCATACATCATTCAAGCCCCCAAACTAAGCATCACAAACCGGCATTGACCGTGCCCTCTTGACGCATTTCAGAATCACTACCGCTTGCAGGAATAGTAACAAGAGTCGTCTACATTAACCGGTAATAGCATATAGCGTAACTAATGTCAACACATCTGATCTGATCTGAAACAGCTCACCTCATCAACCGAGACCTTTATCTCCACATCTTTCACACAATTAATCCATCCAGAGAACTATCAGAACATGCATGATCAGCACCACTCGTAATAGTCTATCAATCAAGACTACTATTGTAGACTAGACACCCATACCTGCGTGCGAGCCCAAACCACCAAACGATCCCCTTCTTCAAGACAGGACAGGAAATCAGCTTCCTCACCACCATCTTCCAGTCTCCAGAATATAATATGTTGTTGCCAGGACCTCTGGATCTTATTCGAAGCCACCCGCTTCGCAATGGCCCCCGGCTTGGCTGGGTCTGAGACTTCTCCTTTGGGGATGTGCTTGAAATGCAAGCTCTGGTCCTGCAGAACTTGGCGGAAATCTTCGGGTCTAGCCTTGAGATATGATGAAGGATGATCCGACAAGTCAGAAAAAAAGGAAGAAGGGTCTTCACCATCTCGCTCGGAAGAACAGCCCAAGATGGATACATCGAACCATGACCAGATGCCCTGACTTCTATCGCTGCACCATCCTTGGTCATGGCTTGTGATGTTGAACTGCACAGCGGAGACTCCACGCGGAAGGGGAGGCGAGATAAGGTACATTGCTGTCCATGGGTGAGAAGTCATGGATTCACTGCGTGGTGGTAGGAGTAGAATCTCTGATCGGCTGGCGTGTGGAGTGAAATTTCTATGACTCTCAGGAGGAGATGTCATGGTTGATGGAGACCTGACCTGACTCTTTTATTGTACAAGCCACAGGACAAAGGTTTTGGCTGGATGCTGAGTAGTAGGTTGATAAGCTTTTGAGAGAGGAAGTGAAGTGAAGAGCCCTGGGGGGTGGGTTTGCCTTACTCATAAGCGTTCCTCTCAGCCTTGTCTTGCAGCAGGAACCAACCTGGTACTGACAGGGATCCTCAAGTAGCGGCCACCTTATTGGACGCCCCACGTACTGTACTGAGACACTACCTACTTACCACTGTGTGGATGGAGGATAAATCCCGCAAGGTGTTCGCTTAGTCTTGTGAATTATGGAAGTTGGACGGGTAATAATTGGCGTTTCTTTGGTTGCATCTTGACTCAATATGGAGCAGCGCTATGAGATAAATACACGATTCCCAAGCTTGATCAATTTCCATCCAATTAAAGAATTGATGTGGACGATAGAATTATTGAGCTCTTCCAGAGGGAAATAAGGTAATTGTAATCTACTTCAGTTGGTACGATACGCCAGGTGAGATACCGCCTGGGGTAAGATATAGATAGTCATAAAGTTTCTGATATTGATCACTATTTCACATTTGGCTTGTCTCGCACGCCCTCTGCTTTATTTGACCCCCAATGGCATTAATATTAAAACTAAGCTTCCGTGTCAGATAATAAAAGAAGGCCTACTGTCAGACCCGAGTCTGCCTCTCAAAGGCTTTTCAATGGCGGCTATCAAGTAAGTTACTGAATCAGTCCGTCAGTCCAACGGTCCGTCAATCCATAAGCTATCATCGTGCCGACATGCATCTAAAGCATAACGATACTGCCGAAATAAATCGAATCGTTTGCTGCGGCGCCGAATAACGCAACGATATCCATCCTCGTACTGTGCATCTCTAAAGTAGAACACATCGCGGGGCTGCATGGATACGAAGGCGTAATGCCCCACCGCTTGAAGTTCAGGGGGGCCTTTGGATCCAAAGGCCCATGTCAGGAATCGACGAAACGATGGCAGGTTCTTATTGCTGATATCATCCCCACAGTCGGGGGTCATCGAGCATGACTGATCGTAAAATCCTTCGCACCGCCTCAGATGGAGAACACGAATATTTGCTTTGAGACCTGGCGAGGTCAGAATAGACTTCTAAAATATAGTCTATGTATTAGTTATTGCAATAGCAGTTGAGAACTTGAATGAATTTGACGCGTACCAAGGTGTTAAAATCCTTGCTGGATTTGCCCAAAAACACAAGATTGGGACCAATGGATGGGTTTCGGTCAGCACCCTTCAATTGCTCAAGAAAACCGGTTGCACCCAAGTACAGACCATGTTCTTCGTAAAGGCATCCGTCAATGTGTAATTGCTGGCATACGAGTTTTCTTAATGTTTTCTTGTGAGTAAGGACAGAACGCCACAGAGGAACTGGGCTTTCAAAAAAAGGGACCGAAATGTACAACTCTTCTAGCCCCTCGAATGATTTAAGGAAGGCTGGTATTGCAAGGAAACTATCTTCTTCAGCTCGTCTCAAATGTGTCTCTAGCGTCAAAGTCTTCAAGGCGATCCTGGATCCAGAATTGAGAAAGTTGAATAAGGCATACTCCCAGGATTTGCATAGACGCAGACTCAAGGATAGAAGTGAGGTGACGTTGAATATAGATGAAAGCACGTGGGATATCGGTGTCAGATCCATGTAATAAAATGAGAGATCTTGAAGAACGGGAAATCGAAAGGCTGTTCTCCAATTATGCATGTCCAAGATCTCTTTGGCAAGCATTGATTTTATGGATTGCGTTACTTCATCACCAGATGTATCCGTGACTCCCAAGTTCATTTGAGTAAGGTGGAACGCATTCGACTTTAGTGCTAGACACAGTTCACGAACATGATGTTCATAACATAGGTCAAGCCATGAGATGCTTCTTAAACATGCAAATTTTGATAGCAAGATATCACTGCCGCCAGCGGCACAAAAGCTACCTGTTCTTAGATGAATAGCTACAAGCTTGCGCTGATTCAGTATAAGATATCCAGAGTCACCGAGAATTTCGCTAGGTAAGCATGTGCGAATGTTCCAGCTGTGTTATAAAGTTTTCATGTTAGCCGGTCTTTGCAGATAGCCTGTGCTATAAGCTTACCTAAATCTTTGGAGCCTATCCGCCGGACATCTTGAAAACACATGCAATAACTTGGAAGACAGATAGCGTATTTCATCCCTTTTTATTCTAGCTTCCTTGTAATAGTCCTGATTGTCATGGACCAATTCGTTGTTAATCGGCATGAATCTCCATGTATAGTTGTGTAAACACCCATCACCGTGCCAGGAACGGTTTTCCTGAATCTCGATATCTCTCATGTGCACTAGTAAGCCAACTGGGAAGACAGGTGCTCGGAGTAGGGAGTCAACATGGTGCCATGTCTCGCTGATTCCAGGTCTATCGGATGTTAAAATTACAGACTTGTACAGAAGTGGAACTGCAATAGCGTAGAGGTGCTTGGAAACACGGCATATGTTGTTGAGATCATGGCGGGTTATGTACTGTGATAAGTCAGCCGGCTTCGTAAAAGGCCAATTCAGGCCGTTAGGCGCAGATTTTACTTACTTCCAGTGCTATGAGCAGAACCTCAGGGGGTAGTCTGTCAAGCATATTGACACTGATGATAACTAGCGCTATTCTTAGAGAGAAGTTGTCCTTGTCAGATTGGGTGAAGTCAGGACAAGAGGGGTTGGTAGCTAACAATGGAGGTGCAGTATTTGAGTCTCTTAAGGCGGCGCAGGTTTCAAAGCACAAGGTGAGGACGCGTAGCCGATATATTCTGAGGCTTCTTGAGATTGTGAGAAGTGAATCAACATTGAATATTCACTTTAATCCGAAAAAATTTGGATCACCTGTGTGGCCTCTTTATGGCTCACCATCTGAACCTTTAAAAGTATACTCATTTAGTGAATGAATGCGAATGATTAAATCCTTTGATGGTTATGTGATATGAACAGTGTAGAAACCTACTGTGTATAACATACTACATTGGTAAATTACTGCAACAAGAAGCTTCTACTACGGGATTTTATAACATTAGACGGACAAACTACTGTACAAGATATCCAGTACTAAAGTGCAGTTAATTATAGCTAATGGTTTTGGACTGCTGTTGTCTTGGCAATTCCTCTCGTCACGGGGAACACGATGAGGATGGAAAGGGTTAGTACTATGAAAGGGATAGAGTCTTCGCTTACCACGACATTCGCGTTTGTGATGACAAAGAACTGTACAAGACTGGCTATTGCAATGCCAGTAGTCAAAGAAGCCCCGAGAACAAAAACATACTTGTTCCGCCGGTCTGGATACCGGCTCTTTACCCAAACACCGAAGACTTACGCAGCATGAAGGATTGCCAGAACATGTAAAGGTTGGTAGAGGCCCAGAGAATATCACCAAGCACTGTCAGGCCTCATTAACCAGATAATGTTCAACATAGTGTCCCAAAGAACCATGGCAATGGCCAGAGGGCACCAGAATGTTGGCGGGCTTTTGTCTTCTTGCTAGGGGTTAATTAGTCTTACTATCCTAGCAGTTGGCTGCCGAGCTGACAGTCTATCCCTATCGACCGAGACAGCTGCGTTGGACACCAGTGCTTCTATGATTTTGCAATATCCAGGATATTGGAACTTTACTTCTATCCCACTTCGATGGAGTGTGTTTCCACATTTCTTTGCCTACAATTGAGAAAACCCCAGGTCCGCCAAAGCCCAGTGTCCTTATCTCCATATCTTATCTTCATCTTTGCATGAACATCGAATTCATTCATTGCTTGTCACTAGAGTTCCTGACCGGTTTGCGGCTGTCTGACACCTTCCGGGCCATGCTATCTGTGGCCAAAAGTCAATAGGTAATTCTTGTCATGGTGGAACACTGTACATCGCTTAATGAAGACCGCCACTTTCAAGCAAAGTCCGAGAACAAAAAGGCCTGCAGAAACCAACAAAAGAATACTGAAAGCTCTACCAAGGCTAGCATAGAGCTTCTTGATCTGCGCCAAGATGTGCCCCAAATGTTCTTGCTTCAAGCATATGGGACCTGCCACAAAATGAGTCGTTGAGCCAGATACGGAGAGACCATGTTGAATCACTATACCTCGCCATAGAAGTGCCCATACAAAAAGACTGACGCCGCAGAGATAGAGGATGAGAGAAAAGAAAGAAGCAATCTTCTGTCCTCTACTGAAAGCGGTGGGCCTTTGCGAAGCCAAGACTACTCGCCCCCCTAACGCAAGGGCGAATATTGCGAATGCGGTGATTAGATCAAACATATCAGGCAAGACTGTTTCAATGATGATGACATCGACTTTGGGTTGTAGTAACTGTATATGTGAGGGACGGTTATCAACGTCAACGCGATACAGGGCTCTAAAACATCTCGCAATGAATTGGACTCAAGGTTGCACGTGCGAATTTGACCCAAAAATTGCTCCTGATATCCCATATAAATTCTTCGCGTTGACAGGAAGTGCGTAAAATGGCAACCTGGCGGTTCCCACCCCACCGGTCCTTATCTACAGAGGTAGTGGGTCTTCAACGCGTAAGCTGACTGGACGGCGAGCAAGTTGGATGTGCAAACTGTTGTTTCCTTGCGCTACGTCTTGTATGTAGACCTGACTATATCCCTTCCTCGAATATTGATTATCAATCTGAAAACGTGCTCCTCATTAACATATACGTGAGGCTCTCACATGAAACACCGGGCGAAGCCCTAACAATTTTCGTAAAATTTCTGGGAGGGAAGTTGATTATTATTGTGGGTATGGGATCTAAGTAGGTAAAGCTTGAACCGGGTAATCAATGGAACTATGGACCTTAGTCCGTGGGTCTCGACAATATCGTTCCCAAGGTTCGAAGGGATCTTGTTTACAGTATCTTGCTATTCAGCCCTCTCGCTTTCTGGACTTTAGGGGTGGTCAAATCTCAGTCTCAATACGTTACTCGCACAATAATATCTATTCATATGTTTAATCATGCAATCGTACCAAGTCTCTGCTTCTACTTTTTCACCAGTAGGTACGGGGTTTGATGCATTTTGATTGCGTCCAGAGTCCAAATGTTTGGACCCGCTGCAGCTCTTGCCGAGGTCTATGAAATCCAACACTATCTAGTAGCCTTGCCCCATTCGATAGCAGTATCTTCGGCCCGGAAAAGATAACGACGAGCTTTGGGAGCTAGAAACACTAAAGAAGGCGCTTTGTGGGGAGGGGTGGCGGCGGGGGCGGAAATTTACCATCGTCTCCTATCACGTCCATTCATCCTATCAGCAGTTCGTTAAGCACTTGAGGAATGCACATATGGAATATCAAGTCCGGAGGGAGTAGCCTTTTCTCGCTTATTCCAATGGGAAATATATGGTATAAGTGGCTTCTTTGTTTCTTGGAATATTCCAGTAATCATATAATCACTAAGTATCCCGGTGTACAACCATCACCCAGAAAAGCTCTTATTAATTGGATCTGAAAGAGTAATATCCGTCTTTTCGGCCGTCGCCGATTCATACAAGAGCCACTGGCACCATGTTCGCTATCACAGATAAGTGCGTAGGCTGACCGGACGAACGCATCAGTGCTTGGGTGCCCTTGACTCGCAGAGCCTACAGAACAATGATCATGGCACCATTAGTCGACGTTACAATCTGTAGCATGCCCGTTTGGGGTGCTCAACTAGATGTTGTACAGAGAAGTGAGCCTTATGGCTTCTATCTTGTTGCTTTTGCGGGTAGTCGCGGATGAAACAGCAAGGGCGGGTTTATCAAGGGGTTCTAGCCGTGGCCAGGAAAACAAGGCTTGTGCCTTGATGCTGAAAGTTTGTGTACAACATATGTCGGAGCCTGGACTTGGACAATAGCTAAGGCCTTCATGTTGCACTATTGGCTATACAGTAGAGATCTGTACGTGCTATGAATGGGACGGAGAGTCTTCACACGAGCCGAAGATTGTTGTGGGATGCCTGGCTAAGGGTCAGGGAATGCAATCTCCAGCCAAGCGACATTTGATTTTCTCACCGACACGGATGTTTGGGCTGTATACAATTCACAGGTTTGAGGTAGCAGACGAGCATCATTGCAAAGAAAGGTTCCTGACGAGCTGTTAGAACCATTGAATCTTATTGGGAGGGATATCATATCCTCGCATGCGGGATGGGGGCTAGCAGTTTGCCGAACAAAGCCTTGATGCTCTATCAATCTAACACATTATCATACAGCTTTCGCATGGGTACCACGGTAGACAGTATGGGTGAGCTTCATGCAAGAATATCATTGTCCAAGTTGGCATCGCATGATATCATAGAGTAAGGAGAAGAGTTCAAAATACTCAACATACTAGGTTTAGTCCAATTACGTAAAGCAGTGTCTCAAATAATAAAGTACTAGTACCCGCTTCGCTGAATTGTGCCCCAGACCTGCATACTTTAATCGCTTTAATGTATGATTGGTTGTTTCTGAATTCGACTTTGATTTCTTTAGGGAGGGGGAAACAAGATCCTGCAATGCTGTGTCACCATCTTCGGAATGTGAGATGAACAGGGAAAAATTGATGATAACCGATGTTGATCTTGTTCGCTCCAACGGATGACTTCCTACCTGGTGTAGATGCATGCAAAATGGTCATGGGCCTTTAAGCCTGAATTCCAGTACACTATACGTAGTCTCATTGCCTACAGATACATCATCCGCTCTAGGCATCATAATGTGCTCCATTCTTGAGTGCGGTCCGCCATCGCTGACCTATTTATCTATCTTCAAGTTCATTCTAGTCTATGGTTCGTACATCGATATTGGACAAAGATCTATTGCTGGATTAGATTCCTAGTGCGAACCCAGATCTTGCGTTCATTTCTCACTCCCAAGAAAGCTGAATTGGCTTAGCAACACTCTATACTTGGGCCTTGCACTACGTTGTTACCGAGCCTGCAAAATGTTGCCTCCCTCTTGGTACGGGAACATCCGCTACCCAAAGATGCTCTCATCATGTATAAATTCGAGGTACAATCTACTGTCCTAGTAATTCTCAATCTATCCCATATTGTCCTGGCCAGCGCGGCTCTCTGTCTTGGAATTAGGACCATGATTAGCTAATGGATATATGGAATTGCAGAGGATTATCGACACCGTCAAAAATTCATCGATCTGTGTACACTACATCAATGCCTAAAACTTGGGGAAGAGTATCCGAAAAACAATACACCAGGCCCGTGGACGGCATCGAGGCTGTAATGAGACAAATGGTCACCAGCAACCCGCCTGGTCGTCGAACATACGACATTGCTGCCGTTGCCAAAGTCCGGACTACTCTCACAACGGAGGAGCTGACCAAGAAGGGGCGACTGGCCTGGCAGAATCTTCGATACAAGCATCCTCTGATGGCAAGCTCTGTGGTCGACGGTAACTGGATATACAATGTGCCATGTAGCAAAGGATTGGAATCCTGGACCCAGAAAACTTTCCTCTCCGTGGATAAAACCCCCAAACGGATTGAAGATGTGCTTAATCGCTTGGGTCCAGTAGAGCTCCCCATTATGTTCCATCTCAAGGACCGCAACGAGTTCCTGTTGAATATTTCACATTATCATGCAGATGGCCAGGGGATCGCTATATGGTTCCACGATTTTCTGACTGAGCTATCGTGTCCTAAGACGGACACTCTTCGATGGGAACCAGGAGATGAGGTCAAAAACCTGCCTCTTGAGACACGGGATGCTGCTGCGATCCCCCGGCTCACACAACCATGGGTTGAGGATCACCGAGGGTTCTTCCCAAAGAATCAGCCCAAAGCGTCAAAAACCTTAGGCCTAGAAATTGAGCCCGACGCATCGCAGCGGCAGCTAACCTTTAGGTTTGAAAGACGCCGATTTTCGGTTAACGAGACAGAAACCATCTTTGCCAAAGCGCGGAATCTAGGCCTCACACCTACTCCGCTTGCTCACACTGCCATTGCCTTGGCTGCCAAGGACCAAGCCAATCTGCCGGACGGTGTCCAGCATAATACATTTCTGATTTCAAGCCTTCGAGGGCAGTGCAAAGGGCCACCTGAACTGGGTAGTCGCGCAATGGCACCGCGCTTTGGACTGTGGCCCATTCAAGTCGGCGTCCACGATTTTCCAAAAACATCCAAAGCTTTGAAGGAATGCTATTCTTCATTCAAAAGTAATATGTCGTCCTACATACCGATCATGACCCATGTCTTGGCCGATATGGGCGCCGATGTCTCGAATGATGTGTTGTCCACACTGATCATCAGCAATATGGGCGACGCATCGCCCTACATCCAGTCTTCGTATGACGAGATCGAACTAGAGGATTACTGGGCGATCACTCTTCCGGCAAATCCTTCGATCGTCTTCATCATAGAGTCTCGGCTTGATCAGCTGGAAATAAGGATTTCTTATAATAACGCTTACCATGATCCGTCACAGATTAGGTCTTTCATGGATTCAATATGCAAGATCCTTTTGGAAGCCCCATGAGCTTGTCATTTAGCTAAATATTCGTTTGTATCATTGCTCCTGCTTGCTTTTCTCTCTGTGTGTGTCAGACATAAGAAAGCCCTAAACCGGGCTGCATTAAGACCGATAACTGGGATACACGTCAACGACAAAAGGCCAGTCATGTATATCTACTCAGGGCATTGTAAACGTGACAGATAGGTGGCAAGGTCAGACAACATGTTGGTTGCCAGACCATCTTTTTAGAATGCTCAGGGGCATGGCTATACAAATTCTAATTCTCGAGTTTCCAGCACCTTAGGGCCGAACATGATTCCATATTCGGTATCTCTATAAATACTTATTCAAGCAACATCGCTCTGACTACATATTATATGACACGCGCATGGGAGAGACATCACAGAAGAACGAGAGTCCAGAAGACCACAATCATGGTATTAGAAAGCGTGCAGCTCCTCAGTCACTTTAGGATACCATTCTACGCCCTTCAATGTCGGACCAATCATCTTGGTCTCACAGTCTATTTTTTACATCTGGCGAATTATTAGCCAGACGTGACAGTCTAGAAGTCATTACTAGCCGCAATTGCAGTCCTTCAACCTTGTTAAATTCGGCAAGCCTAGACGCATCGCCTTCGGTTGAGAGCTCTCATGGGGATTTTGAAATGAAAGTTGGGCTTCATCATGGCTTTGATTGCCGGAAAGGTCAATCAGAAGTCAAGACCAGTCGGAAAAAGAGAAATTCACTTCCTAGCCGCTATTAACTCAAGCCTTGTATTAGATAGTCTCTCGATCACCGCGAAACAACGGCAGAACTCCCTAAAAGCCATCGAGAGGAACATGACCATTACCGTCTAACAGGATGAAACCCCGGTCTCTGCTCGAGCAGATTGATCAAGGGTATGAACAGCCTGTGGCTGGAGTTCGGATCGCTATGATACGAGGAAACTTCTTCCCAGGTCACCCACTTCCACTGCTCACATTTGTGCGGTTCCAATAACTAGAAGGAATGATTAGCCGAGGGTGTATCAGTGTAGTGTCTCTTTGGAGAATAAGGCCTTATGTGATTTAAGTTGCCATAGCACTAACCTCAGGCTGCGCATCATCCCCCACAACCGTGCATCCCACAAAAACAGTAACATAGTGCTTCTCTTCTTCTTTCATAATATCGTTGGTCGCCGTAAGGAACTGTATGTCGCGGACTTTCAGACCCGTCTCTTCTAATACCTCACGAGCCGCGGAGTCTTCGAACGATTCATTAAATTCGAGATGGCCGCCGGGTAGGGCCCATGTACCTGTGTAGAGGCATCAGGAACAGAATTGAGCTTAATGGTACCATCATACGACCAGAACGAACCAATGGACTCTAGATGAGGTCTTACTTACCAGCACCATGACTGCTTTTGCGCTGACCAAGAACGATTTGTCCCTTGGGATTGATAACGAAGACGCCTACGCCTACTCGGGGGTTCATAATCGGAGTGATTCGTAAGTGCGGAGTGATTCGTAAGTGCGAACTGATTGAGAGAGGCGTGGGAAGTACTATTCTAATATGAGCCAATTGTGCGAGTTAGAGAGAGAGAGTATTATGTCGTTATGTTTCCCAAAGCAGGACTTTTTACATGATATTTTGCGTCAGATAAGGCGGGGGTGAGAAATGGAAATCCCAATTGTAAATACCAGATTGTACTAAATGGCGGGGTTGGGATGTAACCAAACTTGGCTTATCAGAGCCGAGGTTAGCTACTGCAATTAGTTGAAGATGATGATCTATGCCATTCGGGTGTCAGGTAGGATGCAATTTACAGGCCCAGAACAGCAGTATTGTACTTTTCACTAAGGATCAGAATTACGCTCACAGAGAGATCTGTTGACGCTAGCCTACATTGGTTGATGGCTGCATGAGGTGGCTAGCAAATACCGAGACTCGCAATATAAGATCGAAAATTACCACCACTGTAGACACACAGTAGAGTTTTCTAATGAGATTCCTCCAATCAGACATGGCTTCTAAGATGTATTACATATCAAATTGATCGACTCTAGAGTGCTAGTTAGCCGTAGGGACAGAGTTCTAGGAACTAGCATGTAAGGTCGCTGATAGAGATAATGCCAATTACGACCGCTTCTTTGACCGCCAAAAGCGGCAGAACCTAGTCTACTTCGCAGAAAAAAGTACGGATATAAGCGGATATGAGCGGATATATTTTTTAAACAGCTCCGGAAAAGGCGAGTTGCATTCTGTATAATTTGTGACCGCCTTGTTTGACCGCTCCAGGCCGCGGCAGAATATAATGCCATCTGCATGTGAGCCATTGCGGCCATAGGATCTTCACTGTGGCAAAGATACTCGGGATTCAATCATAGTCTGGAGAGCGAGCGCGGTACTCACTTTACACTAAGCTACTTAGGCCGTAGAGAGCTCTACATTCGGAGTATAAATAGTACGACAGAGAGGCCTAAGGCAGTAAGACGATCAGGGTCCGCGCGCCAATCATAGGGCGAGCCTAGAGGCGGGGCAGATGGCGTATGATTGGCCGGAAGTGGCGGGCAGGACGTCAAGGGCGTCACCGGACTGGCGGAGGATTGGCCAACCTGAGGCAGGCATGGGCGTGCGGATGGCCTCAACCGCGTCTGGCGCTTTGCTTGACCTCTCCATCATGTGTTGATGTTTATCTTTGTCTCTCATCCATCCAGGCCATAACAGTAACTGCCATCCCACGTTCTATCCACGCCATACTGTCTCGACCTTTTTAACCCTCTCCTTATCGTGAAGCCTACCACCTGAACTAACCGCCCCGGGAGAATTTCGTGAGAACCTCACCATGTTCCATGCGGTCTGATACGCACAACTGCCACCGTGACACGTGTAAAAAGTGGTCTCAGTTGCAAACATGACGTCGTCTAGCACCCCTTCAACTCTATCCCATAGCCGGGCTATCCCATTCGCGAGTCGGCTCAGCGAACAACTGTCGCAGCGGACCGGGCAAACCAGTTCAGGCACCGATCCCGACCATGTCGGCGACAGAAACACACCTACACTTGGGCCTCCATTGCGCCCTTCACCGAATACTCGCTCGCTGAGCGATGCGGGAAAACCAGTTTCCGCCATGCCGATCAATCACGATGATTCCCGCCCGCCCAGCAAAGATGACTCCTCCCTCTCCTCGACCCCCGAAACGCCTCAGCGGCCGTCCATGCAGAGTCTCTCGTTGAACCTGTCTGCCAGATCCTCCGGACCTTTATCCTTATCCAATCGTGCCCCGCTTTCCCCGAAGCTCGACTCCTCGGCCATCTACGGCTCGCCGGGCTCCGTGCTGCCCCGTCGTTCCCGAGGCCTGGACTTTTCGCGAGCTTGCACCAATCTCCATCACTCGACCCTTGCAGAAGCGTCCCCGGACTCCTCCCCGACTGTTGGCGGGCGCGGTGTAAACATCCCGCAGCGGCGCGGCTCGCCAGCTTCAGTCTCTGGCCTTCAGTTCTCCACCTCGAACCCCGCCGACAAGGCCACAATCTCGAGCTCGGTATCCAGCGTCAACATGATGGAATCCGATACAAGCAGTAGTGAGGAGGATGACGAACCCATGATTGGAGACCGCGACGACATGATGATCACCAATACACCCCAGGCGAAGCGATTGGGAGGTGGAATGAGTCCGTTTGCTGTAGGGAACGTGTCCAGCCCAGGAAATGAGTGGATGGGCGGCTATTCGCAAGCAGCCGCGAGTCTCATGAGCTTCCAGCGGGCCCGTTTCCGTAAGGGACGAAGCAGGCACAGCTCCAGCAGTGCTAGTGGCAGTTCCAAGCAGAGTCCAGGTCCTCTCTCACCACCCGTGATGAAGAGTATCGAAGGTCAGAATGGGGGTTACTTTGGCGCAGGTGCCCGACGGGCTAGTCTCAGCATGGGTACGCGGGATTTGCGCCTTTCAGATGTCAGCGACGAGGGTGAGAACCGCGGTGCGCGTGGGCAGAGCCCAAGCACATCGAACTCCGAAGGCGGGCCTTTGGGGGTAATTCGACGGGCCGTTACCCGTCGTGGGAGCTTACTCGTAAGTACTTTATTCCGATCACATAGGATGCATCTGACTCTGTTAGCCAAAAACGAAAACCTTTGCGCGTATCCGGGCGGCATTGATGGAGGAGTCTGCTCCAATTGATAGCGAGGCCAAGCGAGAAGCGGAAGTTATTCGACAAGTCAAAGAGAACGAACCTGACGTTGAAGCGAAATCGCCGCTGGGTGATTTGTCGGCTCTCGACACGTCCACTCCTGTTGCTCACGGGCAAACCCCAGAGGAAATCCCTCCAAAAGCCGGAATGACGACACCGGACGAACCAAAATTCATCGATCAGGCCAACCGAAACTCGGGAGGAGTCGAGTTCTGGAATTCGTTCGACGAGCGCTACCGCACCCCGCCCCCACCCCAACGCCGACATGGAGCTTCATCGGTCTCGGAAGATGACCTTGCTATGGACATTACGCCATCCACCACCGTAGGATCGACCACAGAGTTCGCTAAACCCAGCGAGCGTCCCGGCTCGCGAAGTGAAGCATCTCAGGGCGCCCCAGCTGGGTTTGTTGGTGAGTTCAGGAGGAAACGCCGTCGGGATGATGATTTCGATCCGAACCTCTTTAAGCGGCGAGCGGTATCGCCAAGCATGAGCGCACAGAGTAGCCCGGTCATGCCTAATTCACCGGTGGTCAAAGACACGAGTCCCAGCATCTGGGGGCCACCAAGATCGAACCTTGGCTCGCTGTTCCCCGACCGGCCTGTCACCGAAAATGGACCTCGCAATGGTAACAACCATACCGGAACCCTGAAACGAGTAGGACTGCATGGGATGAATGAAACCAGCGATGGCTTCATGAACATGAGCATTGAGTAGGCTGGCTGAGCCTGTCTACATCATTATAACTATTACAACATTCTTCGATATCGACTAAGGATTCAATGCTGTTAGCGGGATCGGTTGAGTTTGGCGTTATCTTTGCATTTATTGGTGCTATACTTGGGACATAGCTTAACTGCATCGTAACTAATATTAATAAACAATCTACTGCATACTGAAGTGAATGTATCAGAGTTGCTTGTAAGACCTTAGTGACATAGTAGTGTTGTAGAAATGATATACGGATAGCGGCAGGTCAGGGGCCACGTGCGGCCTCGGCGGGACTCGCGCTAACTCCGTGTTGACATCGGAGCTCCATCTGCTCATCCAGCATCCACTGCCCCTCTATCCTTCGTGCTTAATCCCTGACTAGCTTACTTTTACCCTTTAACATACTCAACTCTGGCAGCTGAGTACGTTCCATAATTATCCATGGCATCCACTACCGAACTCGCATCCTCCTTCATCGAGGGTGCCCCGCCCGGCGAGGTAGGCAGCTACCCCCTCATGCTCCTATACCTGCATGCCCCCGATCATAGCTAACAGCATCTATCAGCTCGCAGACGTCGTCGCAGGTATGCAATGCAACCCAGACCCTTCATTTCGATCGTTGCCATCCGCATCGTACCCCGCCCCGAGCCCATACTAAGCAGGTTCACAGATGTTAAGGCTCTCACCTCCGACGGTCCCGACATCATCCCCTCCCTCGCACCGGCCTTCGAGCGCTACAATGAGACACAGCTGGCGACTGTGAAGCTTCCCGGCGCGAGCCAGGTGGTAGGCAGCTACATTCCTAATGGTGGAGTCGACCGACCGTCCTGACACCCTCTAGGTCCTGATCAGCGAATACAACAAGCTCGAGGGAAACCGGTACTTCGATGTGGAGAGTCAGACGTCGTTTGAGGTGGACCATGTCACGCAGGTGGGTGGACATAAGCCATTGGGAAGACAAGAAATTGACAGGGAATAGGAAGCATCGGCAGCACAGTCGTACGTCCTGGAGTCTCAGAATGCGGATTTGATGTACGCTCTTTTCCCTTGTATCTGACTCAATCACGGGCCGTATTGCTAACAGAATTGCAGCAAATCCCTCCTCAAGTCCCTCTCCGCACACGCCACCGAACACTACCGCACCTGCAGCTACGGCGTCTACCCGATAGAGGACGACACCGCCGTAGCCATTGTCCTCGTTGCGAACCGCTACTCGCCTAATAACTTCTGGTACACTCCCATTTCAGGTCCTAGATGATGAATCACTAATTGGTGACAGGAACGGCCGCTTCCGCGCCATCTACACCCTCCCCGTGAACTCCTCTTCGACCACCATCTCCGGCCAGATCAAGGTCGATGTGCACTACTATGAAGACGGCAACGTGGCCCTCAACACTAACAAGCCGGTGAGCCTGTCGGTGCAATCCGTGGATGCCAGTACCATCATCTCGCGGATCGCGGCTGCGGAGCGCGATTACCAGGAGGAGTTGAACCGGGCGTTTGTGAGCACGGCCGAGGGAGTATTCAAGGGGCTGCGAAGACAGTTGCCGATCACACGGCAGAAGGTTGAGTGGGAGAAGGTCGGAGGGTACCGGCTGGGACAGGATATTGCGGGAGGTCGGTGATTGCTGTAGATGTGTAGATTAGCGTTGAACAATTGTGTGCATTTGAAAGTGACATGTCACGTATATCATTTTGTTGTGATGATGATGGGGAGAATATGATAGATAAGCGGATACTGAGCCGATATCGCGTACCCGCCATACCAGCCCCTTGGCAAATAGCCTAATTAATCCCTAGTACGGAGTTACTTAAACCGCGTCGTTACCCACCGCCGCCAAATAACGCATCAACAATAGACTGCATATCCCCGCACATAAACCCCCAGAGCAATAGAAGGAAAATGTTAGACCATTTATACCGTTTTACACGCACCACCCCAGGTCTCGAAAAGACCCTCCGTCTCGTCCAATCCTTCTGCGTGCTGGCCCTGCAAATACCCACTCTACAGAATGAGTCCATTTCGCGATTCAACACCGCCAAGACACAGTTTGCATTGAGTTAGTTTTCCCCCAATAATCCTACTAAATCCCTGCATCCATTATTATGATCAATGTATATTGAAATATGAGTAGCAAGGCGCTTCCTCCGCTTCTTCAACTTCATCGACTGCTTCAATAAAGCATTTGCCCTGCTGGGCAGCCCCTCTTCCGCTCAAAACAATGTCATCAAGACAATCATTGAGATAAGTAAATGGTCCTGCTTTGGATGTTATTTCTTGTTAGAGGATTTAACCCTGGTATGTGCCCCATCCATTATCCAAACCCAAATTTATACTAAAGTGTGTGCAAGTTACACGCAACATCCATCTACCCAAACCCCTACAACAAAGCCATATTGACAGAAGCGAATAAATTCTGGTTCTATGCGCTGGGGTTCTCAATCTTGAGTGCTGCTTATGATATTACCTTCTCTTCGGCGGCATCTGCGTCTGAGACAAAGGATGAGAAGAAGAAGAAGCAGCAGCAAGCTCCCTCCATCAACCGCTTCTCGCTACTGAAGAAGATGCTCTGTGTTGATGCATGTGATTTGCTCATCCCTGGTACCTTTTTGGGGTGGATTGAAATGGGACAGTTGGGGGTCGGGGTTGGGATGGTGGTTAGTACCCTTGTTTCGGGGTGGGATATGTGGAATGCTGTTTAATCCTCCGGCGAAGATTATTGAGGGTATTCAGATACTTTATATGTTGGTAGATATAGAGTGCAGGAAACATGTGATATTTGTAGAGATCCAAATAGTTTAGTATTCGTTCACTTACTCTTCGTCTCTATACACCCGTCCAGTCCTCCCACCTCTCCTCCCCAACATCAGGAACCACCATATCTCCGAACAAACTATTGAATAGCGCCACATCCACCGCATGCATATCCCACTCTTCACTACTACCACCACCCTCCTCTTCCACTATTTTCTCCTTCTCACTCCTCTCAAACCCAATAGTCCCATAATACGGAACATAGACATGCAGACTCGTCCCCCCATCCCCTACCCTTCCATCATACTCCCCTCCTCCTCCCCTCGCATACTCATCGCCCTCCCTAGCTGTATATCCTACACCACCAGCAGCACTCTCCTCCACCTTCAACAAATGCCTCATTATACCCGCCAATTTCCCCGCAATCTCATCCGTCCCTGACCCCGACTCCACCATACCCTCAATAATAGAAAGTGTCCGCTCCATCATCCCGCGGTCACTCGGTCGACTATGTCCGAGGAAACTGACTATCGTTCCCTTCCCAGGCTGCATATTACTGAATGAGTCAATATGCGCAATACCAAGTACCGTCACCGCCACAAAAGCAATGAAATCCACCCCGCGACAGTAGTAATGTGCTGGATTCGAGGCGCGGAAAGCGATATACCGCGCTACTATCTCGCGACTCACGGTTATGATGGTGAGTTTGCTTTGGTCATATGCCGTAGAGAAGTGGGATGAGCGGAGCATGTAGGGGAGGTGCAGACGGAGGAGGAGTTGATAGTGCGTGAAGTGGGCGTTTAGGCGGAGGGTATTCTGGATGATGGTGGTTTGGGCTTGGTTGGCTGTTAGGTCTGGGATGAGCCACCACTGAGGAGGCATTTGGGCGGTTGCGTTTTGGAGCATTTGGTCGATGTCGTTCGTAACGGAGACACTGTTGATGTCTGCTTCGGTACGGTGGAGGATACGGCCTGCTATAATGCAGTGCATGCGGTGCATGCGGTCTTGAGGCGTGCATGTCTCTAAAAGTTTTGGGGAGAGGCATCGTGCTTCGAGATTGGTAGGTGGTAGGCCGAGCATGAGGGAGAGGTAGTGGTCCATTTCGATGAGGCGGAAACACAGGTAATCTGGGTTTAGGGTCTCGCGCGTAGCTGGATCGAGAACCTTGAGGGATGATGGGGGAAGCCCTCGGTGGAGAGACAGCATTTGTGCGATGGCCGTGGCTCGGCGGGTGGCTAACCAGGCTTGGTGGAGATTACCGGCGTAGTTCTGGTATTGAGCTTCGAGCATGATACATTGCAGGCCTTCGATACAGCCACTGAGCTCGTCGTTTGTGGTTACTAGTCTGATGGCGCAGGTGACGGCGCGGGTCATGATGTCGTGGTGGGAGATGGATAGGTTAGATAGGGTTTGGATGGAGGATGGGGATATGCCTTGGAGAAAGATGGCGAGGATGAGCAGTTTGCGTGCGATTATGACGGGGTGGGAGTTTGGTTCTGGTAATTGGAGCATTTCTTGCGGAGTTGGTAGGCTGTCGTCTGTGGGGAAGGGGTTTGGGGCCCAGATTTCATAATTCATATATACTGATATGCCAACAGGGAGATTGTAAATATGATTGAGTTCCCTCTGGCTGGGCCAGGCCGCGAGAAGATCGCGGTTTGTGCTCTCATACGGGCCTGCGGGGATGTTGTTGGCTGGGTACGGCACCTGGAAGTATCAGCATTGGAAAATTGGAATGTGTATGTGAGGACTAGGCTCACTTGATCTTCTCGACTAAAGTCCGCATAACTATCCAATGTCCCCAAACTGGGAGGGGATTCGGTTTGATTTTCAGGAGATAGCGCTCGGTTGCCCGGATCAACCAGCTGTTCGAGTATCCTCTCTACTCGGTCGAGCCGAGCATCAACCCAGTCTTTTCTTGTAGGTATAGGGCTATCAGGGAGCTCCTGACTGATACATCTAGATCCCCGTCGTCTGCAGTTATCGCAGATGGCGTTGGAGGAGGAGCTGAAGATACAGCGAACCTTGCGCCGCTTGCATTCCCAGCAGCTCTTTGTGCCCTTGCGGACCTTTTTCCGTTTCGCTTGGGAGCGCTCCTCCATATTCGTTTCAGCCACTATCAGGCAGACTTCCGTGTCTCTCGGTCAAAAGCTGAGGGAGCAGGGAATGATGAGACGCTCTGCGGGAGGATCTCGGGCTAAGGTGTTGGATTCGCCCGAACTCGGCGGAGCAAGGCCATGCTCACATCAGCCCTAGTAGAATACGCTATGGCTAAATACTGCCTTTTACCACGCGTTATATTTACTAAGCTAGATAGAACTTTCTACCTGCATGTCCGCATCACCCTTCTCAACCGCATGCTCAAGCCTTTCCTTTCCACGCCTCAGTCAAGAACTTCTCGACGGGGGTGAATTCGAAATCAGGCAGCAGACTATTCCATTCATCCGAAACGGCATAGGATCCAGCATTAACCGCCAAAAGGATCCTGCTGGTCATATATTTCGAGGCCACTGCCGCCTGCTCGGGCGAAATGGAAGGGTGATCCACTGTTGGTGTCCACGACGTCTCCCACGTCCCAGCTTCCAAGTCCTCCGCCTTCACTCGCTCAATGGTAAATGGGAGCCCACCTGGAGATAATGAGTCAGGACATATTTTCATGTATGTAAAGTTGTAGGAAAGAAACTCACCGCGAGCTTTCTCGCCTAGAGCAATAAACTCACCGATGGAGATGTTAGAACCCTGGATACCTCCAACCACTGGCCACTCGCCTTCATATTCAACAGCTCTGGCCACAACTCTAGCAATATCCTGAACTGCCGTCAAGGTGATACGGGTTTCATCATCCCCGTCCACCAAGATCATTCGGCGGTTGGCAAAGTCGAAGGGGGTCTCGATTGAGGGCAGGTGGCGGGCCGATTGATGTGGATGGGTCAAATAGTTGACGAACACGCCGGGTTGGAAGAGGGTATACTCGAGGACCTGATTGAGTTGTGTTAGATGTTCCGCCTGGTGGAATGTTGTACGATCGTACCTTATTATCCTTGTTCAGCTCTTGGAGATACCGGCGCGTTTCGCCTTTGTAGGCATACCAGTCCAAGTAGTCCAAGCGGGAGCTGTACTAGGTTAGTGTTTGGATGATAGTAGAAGTGGGATAAAATTCTCACGAAGCCCATTCACTCGGCGCAAAGCGCTTCACTCCGGCCTGAACAGCCGCATCAATGAGGTTCTTCTGAGCGGTGCTTCCGGGATCATCCTGCGTGGTGATGAAGGAGAGAACGGTGTGCACTCCTTGAAGAGCCTTGTTCAGTTGAGTGGTGTCGTTGTAGTCGACTTTGACCCAAGTGATGCCTTGGGTAGGTTCTTGGGCTTGACTGTCCTGCATAGACTGGTTAATGTAACAATACCTTCATTGACTACGGTGATCGGACATGACGAACCTTTCTGGTCAGAACAATGATTGCATGCTTCTTCGCAGCAATAAGTCCGTCGATAGCCTCCCGGCCAACACCTGTTCGAGTGTCAGTGATATAACTGGTGAGAGCAGGAACGATGGACGAGTGTACCGCCGGAGCCTCCAGCAATTGCAACTTTAACCATTATCGAAGAGGGAATTAGGAAAAACCGCCTGGGTAAAAAGATCAATCACTCTTATGGTTTGTGGGAACTGAAGTTGTAATTGTTGGGCTCAACGGTGTCGGAGACAGCTGGTCTATATACTGGCTTGGACCGAGAGTTCGGCCGAAGTTATGGCACCATCAAAGATCGAATCTTGAATTATTCACATCCCATGTATGACTAATTTACTTGCTTTGATGATTAAGACAGCATCTACAAGAAAGATTCGGTCGAATATCGGAAATAACATCAGTGCATACTAGCGATGGTTGCTTGAAGGTCAACAATGCTAAACACCTGACTGTAATTGGCGTATCTCAGACATTAACCCCTTTAATAGCTCAAGCCAAAGCGTATCAGAAATACCCTGCGCCATGCAGCAAGTTCAGTAGCTGGCGCATCAACTAGAGATCAGCATTGTCCCTAACGTCAATGCAGAACAGCTCCGTCTCGGCATAGATAGTCTCAGGGTCTCCACAAGCACTAGCCCAAAGGCGGTAATTGCAACTAGGAGATATATTAGCACGCATGGCTATTCCTAATTATTAGGCATAACATACTTAAGAGGGACATCCATCGGGCCGGGTGGAAGAATGGTAACCTCATCTCGGCCCATGACCGCGTAGCGCAGGACCAGCTCCGTCACTGGAGGATAGTCAACGCGGTTGGTGAGGTAGATGCAAAAGGTCTTGTTTTCCTCTCCTCTGTTTCCAGTAAGCAATCGTACATATAAATAAATATTAGGGCAAAAGCTCACGAGACGTGGGACCATTTGACCGTCAAGGGCTCCTTGAGGTCCCAGGTAGTCTGGGCTGGTTCACCGCCACCTGGCTTTTCCCAAAGCATGTTGGAAGATCTATAATGATAGACTAAATCTTTGAAAGATGAAATATGTTAAGTTCGAACACCGATCACACCGATGGCATGATATTGAGAGCAGAAATGAGCGAGAGGAACTGCTCGATTATATACCCGCGGTTGTGTACAAAGCCTTCGATAGAGGCAGGGATCCAGAAGTGCTTTGACCAAAGGTGGCGACGATATATGACTATAAATGCAGTCAGTATATTCATTCAACTGTTAATCGGTTGAACAGTGAGGTTAATCATGATGTAGATGTCCGTCAGAGGCTGCCTAGGCGAGTGGAGAATGCGCAACAAGGTGTAGATGCTGCCTGAGAGATGCAGATACGAGCATTTCACAGCATCCTATGGTTGCAGCTCGCGTTACAGAGGCCTAAGCTTTGCCAATGATGCTCTCCTGCCAGTACATGAATAGATGAGATGTCGAACCAGCATGTACGCTCTATGGGAGGGCGACTGCAAGATGCATCTTAGGTCCGTCCAGAGGCTCATCGCTGCTTACACAATTGACATAAGCTGGAGGGCAAAGAGTTCGGCTATCTAAGCTTCAGATATAAGCATTTTGCTTCCTAGAGCTCGTTCCAGCAAGGATATATAAGCTTACTATGGATCTGATTACCCCACTGTGTAACAATGGATGCAAAGGATCCCTTGTTCAATCTGATGATCTCTCCTACAGTTTCGGAATGTGTGAACGCAACCAATGAATAATTTCTGTGTCACCGTCCATCGGCGAATAACCTCCATGTTACTCAATCGTCTAGTATGTCCGAAACTCCAAAACTCATCACTGTAGAACCATGGTACGTAAAGATCTGAGTCCCCACGGCCCACCGGTTAAGGATTCCGTCTATTGATGTCGTTTCTCTCATACAATTCGATGCTGACAGGCTCCCAAGATCCCTCCCAAACATCAGACCAAGAACAGCATTCCAGACAGGTGACCTTTCTGATAGTAGCGGACTAGAGGGATTCAGTGAATGCTAGCTATGCTGAGGCTTCATAGTGGCTTGCACTTTCCTGATGACCTGGTGTGTGTGTGAAATCAAGGCCTCAATTTACTTCACCCCTTTCTTTGTTCGAGAGAGTTTGCTACGCAGTAGCAAATCGATATTCTAGCTCTTCTAATGTCTTACATTATTCTATTCAGTTGTGCCTATGAGGATTCTAACCCTCAATTAATGGCTTGTATCTGGCCAATAATATGCCGTTGGCTTCAAGCCAATCTTTTCATATTATAGAAACTAACAACTTGCCAAATAAAACACTTATTGGTGACTACCTGGCGTAGTTTTTCATCCGATCAGAGGCAGAGTCGCCTTTCAAGAGTGTCTGTGCCTTTCCGCACCTGACATTACTTTCCGTCGGCCTAATACTGCATGTGATTAGTGAACAGCGGATATCAGCTCCACGTATCCTGTCAGGACAGGACATGCATCCGTAACCAGCGGGATAGTTGGCAAATGACCCCCCAGAGAGGTATCCGCAGTGGATCTTCACGATCGGCTCACACCCCGCATTCGCCTTGAAAACGTTCTTCCCTCTACTCCGGAGTATGCTTTTTGTCATCTCGGAAACTTCTCCTTTATTACATCATCTGCCCCCGTCTTGATGTTCCATATTTCTCCCACGGTTCCAGAACTCCTCAGTATTGATTGCTCGGAAAAGCTGTTTTGTAGCTCGAGTATGCAATCGTGCAAACCCTACCTGGAAAACTAAGTGAAGTGACTCGAGTTGTGACCATAGTTCTGAAAGTTGAAAACAACAATATGACCTCTTATCACACTCTAACTACCCCGTGTATTAACATTGATAACTACCAAATATTTATATACTACGGCGTTCGATGAGTGAGTGTGCTGTCTCCGGCGATGTTTGCGGGAGGCAGTTGGTCGGATAAATATCCGATCAGCGCTAGCATTTCCGAGCCCTCCATCACAGCATCACACATCGTCTTCATTGATCAATAGAGTATCTGGGACTAATTTAAAGACTAACATCTCCTCAACGATTGAGAAACGTAACTCAAGATCAAATTCACTTACCAAACACTTTGTCTATGCAACAATACCCTCCAAATACTCAAGATGCTCTCTACAATCGCACCACAACCGCCCATACTACAAGAGCCTCTATCTAAAGACGATGTCATTTTTCCTTTGGAATCCCAAGAGCCTTCGACAATTGACGAGCTTGTCCGCCAGCGTGCATCACTTGGAGCCGCACAGCCCATCATCTCCTATCCGAGCACCGGCATCGAATATGTGGACTATCCACTGCAGCAACTGGATGTCTTCGCATACCGCGTGTCCAAGGTGCTATCAGACCGCATTCCGCCTCGGAAGTCGTCAGCTGAAACCCCCAAAGTCATCGCTTTACTGGGACCATCTGACCTCAACTACCTGGTGATGCTGCTTTCCCTGGCTAAGCTGAGTCACAGTGGACTGCTCCTATCAACCAGAATATCCGTGGATGCATACGTCTCGCTACTGGAGAAGACCGGATCGAGACATATCTTCATTCATAGCTCTTTCCGAGACACGGCTGAAGATATCAAGAAGCGGGTACCTGAGCTTGTCATTGATGAGATTCCGACTGAGGAAAACTATCACTATCCCATTACGGAGGATGTCGACACG